CCCAGCAATCTCTGAAACTTTGCCTGCTACATTCTGGACCCGGTGTAACGAAACTGAGGGTCCGCGTAACAGAAAGTCCGCCCTCTATTTAGTTATAATGGTTAGGGTTAGCCTGACCTAAGTGGGCCAAAATCTAGGACGAGGCTTACCTGTGCAAATGAATGGAAAGCGAACTTTCTATCTTTCTAGAGTGGGGGACTCTCTGTCACGTTATTGCACCTGGAATACAACCATCAGCAGTAAAACTAGTCGATTGATTGAGACTTCCGTGTAAACTCAGGGTGTTCGGCTTGTATTGAACCTTAAACCATTGAAATCGATGGGACTTTTTCACTTTGTATTGTCCTCCCCCTGATCTACGGAAATGGGGGTCGGGATAAGGTCACTCGGCGATATAATGATGCTATTTACACTGTTATGATATTATTGTAAAAATAATGTGTCTGTTTTCCGGTGAAATAGAATAATTCCGCTTTCTTCAACTGTAACAACTTCTCAATCAAATACTGAAATTAGATGTTCGTGCATCGTGCTGGAATAAGTTATATTTTGATTTGAAACTTCTCAACATGTTTTAATTGATTTAGACAGGTACGAGTATACTGGTAATTAACAAAACGACTTTGGTTGTACAGCCTTACTACTCTAAATGGTTATAAAGTTATAATAATAATAGTAATAATAATAATAATTTTTAAAAAATATTTATTTATTTAAGTCTAATATCCAGTTATGTTCAATAATTGAATATGTTGGTTATATTAATTCTCCGATGCTCCTTTTACAGAATAGAAACTAACTAAATTTTGAATACCTACCTCAGGTCAAGAGAGTTGTTTTACAATTATTGAAAAAACATGTGGCAGACAAACAGACATAGCGCGTCAGAAAAAAATATTGACAGAGAGCCATTTAACCCAAGGAAGGAAGGAAGGAAAGTCAAACAGGGAAGTAGAAATATGGACACAGAACTAATTGTTATCTTTATTCCTTTTCTGATTGGTATAAGTGTTTTCTCCCGTCGGAATAAAAAATGAATTCACCTCCCCGCAGTCAGTTAAGATGCGGAGATGCGAGTCATGCACATTTATCTGATAAGTACATGTATCTGCATGGGTTAATGCATCCAGGAAACTGCTAGACAGCTTCACTGTGTTTTAGTTTTAATTAGATTAATTCATATAAAACGATTCCGTTCGTTATGTTGGAAATATGGGTCTTGTGAAGACAGGCACTGGTTGGCCCTTGTTACGGCGGGTTTGGCCACTCTTAAAGATGGGAATTGGTATCTGTCTTCAAAATACCCTCCACAGTTATTGATCACATTTAACTAGGTGTAAATCGAGACTTTGGGAACGTTTTATTACATCCGAGACATTCAATGGAGCCGGCAAACATTGCGGATTTTGGCTTCTTATAAGATCAACTCGACAGATATTATGTCTTTGATTGTAGTCTAGACTTCGGGAAAAAACGACGGGTGGAGGAGGAAGCTCCATCGGTTAATTGTCAGTTTGAAAGTAATGAACTAACAGCTATGTCCATTTACTTCCATCACGGGAATTTCTCGATAAAACGAAAAAAATTTGGCACTAACTTGACGTTTGAAGCGTTTTATCATAGGTATCCTAAATTGAACCTCTCTGTGGCGGCCACCAAGTTTACTCCCTCCAAGATTCAAAGATATAGCAAAATCTTGGACATAATTCGTTATTATGTCCAAGGCAAAATTGATTATCTTTTTTCTTCCTTAAAAGCACCAATCTCGGTCGCTCAAAGAATGTTTCACTTTTTCAAATTGTAGTCGATCTTCTGCTCATTCAGTCGTGAAGTACCGCAATCGCTGAACAGACAGATGTTCAATAATCCGCTTTATCCCGAGTTAATCTACTAGTAAATCAAATCTGCCCTTCATGTTCCTAATTGACCGCTCTGACTGACCACTGGCCACAAAGACCACCACGTGAACTGGTCAGCAACTACACTTTAGACTAAAAAAGTTCAGAAACAATTTTATTTTGAATAATTATAAATAACCATATGAGCGAGGGTAAATATTTAAACCAAATATTGATGGATAATGCACCCACCGTTACTTTATCATATACACAGAATATTTCCTCACTACATTACATGTGTTTTAATTATTGAAAATGATTTCATGTTTCCGAACTTTTTTGGTCAAGTGTAGATCATTCATAACTGGTGGCTTGGCTATCGCTTTCTCCAGCTAGTCAATAACTAAACACTAAATGAAACCAAAATTAAGGCAGCCGTTTTGACTACTGAAATAGCTTATTTCGTTGCAAAAATAAACTCACAGAAAAATTCTGGTTTCTTGTACAAAATCTCGAGATCTCGATCTTAAGATCTCAGTAAACCTGTCATTATCGCTTTTCCTAAAGTGTTCTCTCTTTTTCTCTCTCTCACGCACATGCACACACATACACACACCTTTTTAACGACTGTTTGACCACCCTCCTCCTTCTTCAGTTTGAAAGATAGGAGTGAAAAAGTATTCATGTCATTTTCATGGAAATTTGAAACTAATATTTAAACCAACGTCTTAACAAAACTGTAGCCCAGATTACAGCTTTCTACATCTCTGCCTCCGCGAACAAAATTGTATCAGACAAAAATTAAATAATGGTGATCTTTTCATATAATTTGATTGATTCTGCTGGGGAATGGTAATGCTAGATCTCGCGATTTCTCCCTCGAGACCATTTGCAGACCTATCAGTTATACGCAGTCTTAAATCATCAATATCCAACGCCAAGAGAAATAGCACTAAAATGTTGTTAAATTTTATAGGTTTTTATAAGTTCTGGTTAAAAAAAATCTCGTTTGCCTTGTGGACAGCTTTACTTTGATATTGTAAACTAAGAAGGAAATTTAAAAAGCATGCATATTAAAAATGTTTCATTTTAGAGCATACGCACGCACCATTTCTCTCTCTCCCTCTCTGTCTGTCTCTCACTCTCTATCACACACACACACACACACACGCACACACACACACACTTACACAGTTATCAATTTTCAGTAATAAGTTTATATATCTGAATATAAAAATGTCATGTCATGGAATATGGAATTAAGGGAACATTCTAGTGAGCGATTTATCTAATACAACACGACAGTAGCTCAAAGGCAGAGAGAGATCTGAAGGACGTAAGCCAAGATCAAGATGACCTTCACTTCACCCGCGTGCGTCAACAGCCGGCCCACTGCAGACGACAACGAAATTGATAACCCCTTCTCGGACAGCCGTTCAATAGACCTATTCCGTTCATGAAATTATCTTTTTTTTCTGTTTGGGATATAAACAATAATTGCTTACTAGTTTATTTTACAGTAGACCACGAATTTTTATAACTTTATTTTAGGGTGAATCGTATTTTTTTTTAAATTCATCTTTGTGATTCATCTTTGTGAAGTTGGAATATATCTTGAAGCTTAAGACTACATCGCGGATATTGATCCATTTTTTAAAGTAATTGGAATGCGTCAGGAAATTTGAAGATATTGGCGATAAAAGTATTAGACACAGGATAGGTATCAGCGATATATCACTTTTTGTGGGATGGTACAAAATGTAGGTGTTTGCCTTAACAAAGAAACGGAACACGCTCTTCCCTTGGGGAACAACTCCCAATATGGTCCCTATGTGTGCCTTGCTCTAACGCTCGGATAGTCTGATAAATTAGTCTGTATTTGTAAATTGGTGAATTTGCGCAATTCAGTAGTCGATATGGCAATAAGATACAATCCGGCAAAGACGATCTCCATTTAATATCTTTGCACCGAGTCTCGTTTTACCTCATCTATACTGAAATATACAGCAATTAGGGTCCTTTTTTTGGGTGCCAGACTAAATAAGTCCTATTAGAGTAGTAAATACCATCAAGATATACGAACTAGAATTCTACAAAGGCGAATTGGTATGCGTTTTTTTTTTCGGGGGGGAGGGGGGAGGGGGGGGAGGCCAGTACCGGGGCGTCATTAATTGGTCCCAGTGGTTATTGTACGAATAGTTACAAAGGGCAGAAATAAGTACATGTATCAGCATATCTCTGTCGTGGCTCTTCTCATCGACAGGCAAATTTTAATGAAAGAAAGAAAGAAAAAAGGGTTTCGGATACACACATTTTCAGGGCATTCTGAAACAAATTGCAATCGACAGCAATTAAACAAATTCAGCCAAACAAATAATGTCAATTTTCTTCCTATTAAACCGATGAAAACTATCCTCTAAAATTATTTGTCCCATTTCATGGAAACTTTGAAGATGCGATTTGCAAATGTTTTCTGGTATAAGTCACATCGGAAATTACAAGCTTATAGGAGTTAAAGACTATTGGAGAAGTTTTTAGCAAACGAATTCATTTTTTTATGAAAGCCTTGTGAGGAACCGTTGTGTTTTTGCAGTTGGCTGTGAAGAAAATCAGAAAACAAAATCATCGTATCAAAACCCTCCTTTGAATTATAAGGAACGTGAACAGGTTCTTTTGAGAGCGAATAACTGGTATATTGCTGAAATGGCAAAAAGGGTCTTCGTTACACGTGCCTGTCCCTTGTTTGTGTAAAATAAGGCAAATTACTAACAGAAAGTCGGACAAGTCACAACATCAGCATATTGTCCAAAACAGCCGATTTATTCGTGAAAAGCGACTGCGTCATCTATTGGTGAACAATTTTACTGATCTTGTTTGTCGAAGATATCGGGCTCTAGACTCAACCTCTTTCTAGCAGAATCCAGCTGATTTGGGTTTAAATAATGCGGTTATTATTATTATTATTATTAATATTATTATTATTAAGTATCTATGCGGTTCATGAAAGCCATGTCAATTTTAAAGCAGATTTTTATTTGTTTACCGTCTAAAAGTTCAAAATAAAGAAAAACTTTAAAAAAAAAAGTATACGTTTTTTCCAGATTCAAGAAATATATTAGCTTTATCACTTAACATTCAAAGTACATGAAAAGGGTTTAATCTTCACTTTCCTATCAGGCTGTCTTTACGATTGTCGCTGTTGTACGCATCCTTGAAGCGAGCAAAGCACATTGCGCCTTCTCTGTCGCACTCACACAGGCTACGCTTACAGGCGTTCTTCACGGGGTCATCCGCTGGAATGTGAGAAAATTAATGAATAAATAAATAGAAGTTAATACTACTACGTATGTATTACTATTGCTATTACTATTACTATTACTATTACTACTACTACTACTACTACTGCTACTACTACTACTACTACTACTACTACTACTACCATTGCAACAACTACGACTACAGACGATGTCAAAGTTGGGCATATAATTTAATGAATAAAAAATAACTCGGCCCATCATGCTTTGCACTCATTTCTTTATATTCTTCGTCGTTTTAAAACAATGCACCTATAATTTATATGTATATCTTTTCACTTGACATGTTGAAAATAAACTTTATTTATCAACATAGATGTTTTATCACTGTTGCATGTGACCACATTTTGGGATAAGCATGGGACTGCCCATTATAAATAAAATCATCTTTCATTTGAGAATTAAATGTATAGACCAAATCGTTGTTTCAAAAATGTCAGTAAGACAAAATTTATATAAATACCATACATGTGGATTAAATCGTTGTTGTAGGTAAAGTGTAGAGAGAAAAAGTTTCAGCTTTTGGAGAAGAATGAAGCAGTATATAAAAGGTATGCGCTTACTGCATATAATGGAGTTGCTGCTGCCTACTTTGTAGCCGTAATGCGTCAGGTAGGTACGGAAGTCCTCGGGTACAAAACGCATGTGACACTCGTTGTGACCGATGCGCTCGTAACAATTGTCATGTGACTTGCAGCACCTGTATCATAAAAAATGTCACCGCAAATTGGGTGAAAGAATAATAGAATTCTTTTTAAACAGTTTTTTTAGCCCACTTGTTACTCGGACGAGTACATGTAGTTCAGACAGATAACAATTCGTTCAGACAGATAACTTTGAAAAAAAAAAGTAGAAGTTAAATCTATCAGTCAGTTGTGAACTGCTAGACCGGTGGCTATTCTTACAAACAGCAATAGCTACAATAGGCACAAGGGTTTAGTTAAACGTTTATAAGACAGTATGGTAATTGTTCATTTTTGGGCGTTTCTGTTAATTTTAAAAACATTAACAGATGACTGCACAGAAGATTGACCTGGGCTCATTCTGAACGTGAATAAAATATATTTCTGCATCAAAATCGATTAATTATGAAAAAACTGCGGGTTGGATGGAAATAAGAACTCGCTGTTTAAAATAAGATAAAACATGCATATAAATGAATCGGCCATACTCGTCTATGTCGTCCACAGTCTCTCCATCTCCACCAGGCCCACACCAATTCCCGTACTCGTCGTAGTCAAGAGCGCCTCTACCGGTCAATAGCGTAATCATCACTCCGAACTCGTCCAGGCGGCGCTTGTGTAGGCGGTTTGCAGGAAGCGCCAAAGCTGCTTTAAGAAAGGATAAAATAAACAAATTGATATTTTTCAATATTAATAAAACACAAGCGTAAAACATTACAAAATAAAAAATTGCATGTAGAAATAAGATACATGTAATTTTTCAATTACATGCATCTTATTTCTACATACAATAAAAAAGTATATAAATGTTAACTGAAAGGCAGTGATGTATAGCAAGAATACGGTAACATATTGCCTAATAAGAAAAAGGCAAACTTATGCTAAATATGTATTATAAGAGCACTGTGAGAAAAAATGAAGAAAATACCCCTTTCACGCACCCCCCCCCCCTTTCCTAAATCATACTCACCCTTGAATTCAGCAAATCCATTTCTTATCTTTTTTAAAAAGCCACCTATACATGTACTTACAGCTGCCTAGGACGACGAGAAAAACTAGCCCTAATCTGTTGGCCTGCATGCTTGTGAATACTGACCCTGTAATGCACTCTGCTCGTGAAACCATCCCTGCTAACCTCGCCCACGCGACAAGCAGCGCTTTCTTTCAAATTGTATAAGACGAGAAATCGGTCCACCTCGCGTCGTCAGATCATCAGGCTACAGAAATTGTCAATTGCGCCTGCGGAATCCGGTCTTCTGATGGCGACTTTCAATCTGAAATTACTCTATTTTGAACGCACCTGCAGATAACTGCACTGCTGAGGTACAGACATCTGGCGGTTCTCAGAGAATGAGGTAAGAAAAGTCGTGACGACCTTTTCAATGTATTCTATAGAATGACCTTCTATTAGTCGGATTCTTTGGGTAGTTCAAGGCCAGCGTTTTATAGGCCTATTTGTTTTTCTGACGTTTTTGAGAATAAACTTTTTAAAAAGTTCATCATTATGCGCTTAAAAATTTAGAGCTTAAGAATTTAGAGGAGTATAATTTTTTTTTACTTTCACCTTTATTATAACGTATCTTCATATTCACTGCAAATCGTGCAATTCAGATTTCATCCTCATGGAATATTTGCTTTTGAAAGTTTTTGATGTCGCTATCAAGAAAAAAATCATACTTGCAGGAGTACCTGACAGATTTCTTTATTATGCATTATCCAAACTGACAGCATTCTACATATCACAGAGTTCAGTTTCAATTTAAAAGTCTATCACCTGCAAAAGACTGGGATCATTTTCATTTTCCAAAAAGGTTACTCAAGAGCCCTTGGTTCGTCTTCGAGTATGTGGCCACGTGCCTACCAAAACACTCCGCGGCCGCCTTGTCACACTCACACACTACCCGCATGCAGGAGGTCGCTGGGGTGTCCACTGCAATGAGAATTGTCGTTTTAAACTCAATAAGCTTAATAGCACAATGCATTTGAAAAGAAATGTAGGGAAATGGACTACTTATCCTTCCTGTCAAATGAACCTTAAACAGTATCAAATGTTCATTTTCTTGGTGTGCTGTAAAAACTCTCCCTCTCTCTCCACACACAAACACACACACACATAAACACACACACGCACAAATAAAAACATTTAATCCCTAAAAATTGCACTACTTACAACAAACGATGCCGCCTGCCCCCAGTTCCCACTGATACTTGTTGAGATATGGTTTTGTTTTCACCCAAGCGCTGCACTCGGCACGGTTGGCGTTGTAGTAGCAGCGATCGTGTATTTTGCAACACCTGGACAATGACAAAGGTCATGAGATATTTTTTTAATAAAATTAAACAATGCCAGCACAGTCAGTTAATACAGAATCGAAAACTTTGAATTATAATAATAGATGATACACTGTTATCCTTAGAAAAAATTAATTATGCGTTAACATTTTTATGATCCAATGTCTGCCAGATTATCAAAATACATGTACCGTACACACGCGCACGTTTGTAAATTTGAAAATGCAGAAGCTGGTTAGCGTCGGCTCTGAAACTCCGACAAGGCAGAATTCACTTGAAAATGTGGCATCTGTGCAACGAGAATTCCGAGAAGTGTAGTAGCATTTTTGTGAACATAAAATTTTCTTTAACGAACATACTGCCCTGTGAGTGTGCTGGTGGATTGTAAGTTGCAAAAAGGTATATTCAATACACGTATAACAGTTAACACACGCGTGCCATTCATGTGTACTGATATGTTTAATGTATGCTGGACCAACACCCACGCACGCATACACATACACACACACGAACGCACACACACGCGCGCGCGCGCGGGCACACACACACACACACACACACATACTACCTACGCGTCTGTTGGGTCCACTGGATCCCCACTTCCCCCAAGTCCACACCAGTTGCCATAGCTACTGTAGTCAAGAGAGGAACGGCCCGTCTCGTGCGATATCATTTTGCTAAACTGGTCCAGTCGCCTTCGCATCGGAGTTCCTTCTAAGTTTCGAAAAACGTTATACATTTTACGTTTGTTTCATTCAGCTGGTGAAATGCCAACTAGTGAAAATTATCCTTGGATCTACTACCACATTCCAAGCAGATACATTCATTCGCACAGAACATATACATTATTCTTATTCTGATATTTGACGATTAGAACATATACTAAACCTTGTGAATAAATAACAATAACGATAATAACAATTACCAGTAAAAATAAATGGAATGAATTAAAATAAATAAATGAATAAGGCAAAACAAAATAAAGGCCTAATAAATAAAATAAAATTAACGGAAACGTAAATCAAAATTATTAGAATATTTGAGAGAGAGAGAGAGAGAGAGAGAGAGAGAGAGATCAAATAGATGGTAATCTGTAGCACAATGCACGTACCTAAAGAAACAACTAAAAGAACCATCAGCAACAGACCGACGGAGAGCTGCATGGCGAGTATGAAGCCCCAAATTATAGTGCGGAAGGCTGGATATGACAGCAAAACGATATTGTCCTCGGAATAAGGTTTTACTATGTACTAACGTACTACGTACTAACATATATATATATATATATTGATCACGACATCGACACATGGGTTTTTCACATAGACCAGTGTTTGGCTTAAGCTTGTCATGGCATTGAAGCAATAATGGGGGCGTTCTTCTACACAGACCCCGTATACATTAATGTCCATTAAAACTTGTTTATGCTAAGCCATCTTCTTTTCTTTTGTCTACTGCTTATTTCACGAATCATGTTGCACAGAGCACAAGTTAATTTGAAAAAGTTTTCTGTGGCCTTTTTTAAAAGGTTAAAATAGCTAGTACTTAATTAATGGTAAATATTGTGAACTGTAAGCCTGTTTATACTTCTCCCTCGTTTCATCACAGGTTCGTAAAGAATATAGGGCATACAAGTACTAGCATACATGCATTCTTCCCTCTGCGACATAAAGAGGGTTTTGTAAAGGATCCATAAAACTGATGTGTCAGTTAAAGATGCTATAGGAGTAAAATGTTTCGATGACACCAAAAATATAGTAGGTTCAGTGCACTTTTTTGTTATGGAGACAAATAATACATTTAAAGGACTAGACACCTTGTGCTCTGTTTGCCCGAAAACTGTTAAAGCATTATAATTCTCAAAACGCTGCTCGATTCTTGAACTGTGACTGTAGACGTGATAGCATGTCTACTACTGAAGAAACCCCGTTTTTTTCGAATAAAATACGCACCACTGCTTCAAAAATGGTAAACAGTGTAGTTTGTAATGTTATTACACCACAAACTGGAACATTCTTCGAAGTACACATCGCCGTAGCCCCAATATCAATTAACCTTTCGTTAAGTTGTGCAAGTGTAATGTTCGCTAATGTCGCTCGCTGGAACGCAAATGATATAATCCCCAATTTGCAACATTCATTCCAATTTCCATTGCTAAAATTTTTGTTATTTGTGCCAAAGGTGAAGAGAACGGGTGACATTAGACCAGGGGCGGATTCAGAGTTATTTCCTGACAGTCTTCCAAATTATCTTTGTTGATCCGTTCTTCATTTTTGACCGTCTTCCGACAGAAAAAATTAGATACCCGCCAATGTAAACTTGAAAATCTGACCGTCTTCCGGAAGACCCAGAAGACGCCCTAAATCCGCCCCTGTTAGTGGAAATTGTTAGGGTTTTGTGAGAAAAAAGGCCCAATAAAGAACTCAATCCTACATTTAACACTACTAAATAGTGAATACGCCAAAAACGAGACTCCTTCGCAGAGTGGACCCTGTCTGACATTTTATACATCGCGAGATGCCAAATCCATTTGTTTATTCATTCATTTATTTCATTTTTCTACATACACGAAAGTGTGAAGCGTCAAATCATTTCGGTCACTGGAATTTGAGGAATTTGGTTACTGGAATTTGGCGATTTAAAATGCTCTCGAATCTGGCAGATGTCAATTAAATGTTCATATTGGTTTCAATACACTGGATGATCTCTGTCTTGTATTCTGGGTAATTAGGAATAATTTTCTTTTTGCAAATTTGTGAACGTGACTGAAGCATCGTAGTCAGTTATAAACTTCCAAAGGTGATACGATTTAGCGCAACGACAACGTAGCGGTATGTGCTATAAAATCTATCAACCCGGAAAAAAATTCATTTTTAGACATTCTTGATATGGCCATATTTTCTACGAATCATTTATTTTCTTCAAAGCTCAATAAAACCAGAATTACGCCCTTTTAAAAAGATTCAATAAACTTTATTATTTACAAAGGAAAAACTGTGACTCAAATATCTTAGCTCGCTAGACAAAGGGAGCAGCGTCAAAATGTGCAGTATACTTCGTTCAAGAAAAATAGAATTCACCCTGATCTCCGAGTTTTTCGGAACCTATCACCATTAATCGCATATAAATCACGGGTATACTAACTATATTTATTTACCCTTGTTCATAGATTGATTGTTTCTTAACGTGAATTATTCAAATGTGTTCTCCAAATACATGTAGCAGCTTGGTTTTGATACATAATAATAATGATAATAATAAATAAATAAATAAATAAATAAATAAATAACCAGAACCAACAATAATATTTTCCATTTTTCTCAAACAAGTCTCAACTCTGCATGTACAACATAAAAATCATCTTCATTTTAAGAGATAATATCCAATAATCACAGTGCAATATATTGCAATATCACAGATAACAAATAAAGCCATTCGCTTTTCGGTAAGCTGTGTCTCAAAATCCTCACAATGTCTTAAATAGTTTTATATGTAGGTGAGGGACTTTGCTGGTTCACTCTAGAACCAAACAACGTGTTCTGTGTTAAATCTTTGAGGAGCCCAGGCGTCTCCGAAAACACATTTATCCGTGAGTCAAGGCGACACAGGGTACTGCAAGATACTATTAGTAGAAAGGGAGTTTTTCGCTGTTTTGACAAGAGCACTGCTCTTATTCCCTTGGCCCTTCCTTAAAGCAAGGAACAGCTCATGAAAAAAAGCAAGTGCACACAACTATTGTCTGTATGGGATAATTTCTCAGCCAGTGGTTACAACTTTCCTCGGTCGTAGCCATCTGCGGTTTAGAAATATTGAGATCATCTGCGTCAAATTTGATCTGAAAAGACGCCAACGGCTACTTAAGGAGTCGCTCTTTATTTTCTAGGTCAGTACCTCCGGCATAGTTCGTACAGAGTTGTCAAAAATTGGTTCGCAGATGGGGCAGCATTTGCCTTTGATCATTTTCGGGGCTGTTCCTTTTGGGCACGGCGAGCACGGTCGGTACATGCAGATGGCAAGGATTTCGTTTTTGCCGCCACTGTACTTTTCAAACTCGTTGAGGTCACGTGGGCAGCGGCACGCGGTGCATTCGTCCACCTGGACAACTATTTCAGAGGAGATAATTTCGTTACCAAGGTAACAGTTTGGACCTGGAAAAGGAATAAAGATATGGTATGAACATAAGTCACATTGCAAATATATATATATATATATATATATATATATATATATATTTATATATATATATATATAATTATGCAAATATATATAAAAAGAAAACTTTCAAATAATTATCATATATATATATATATATATATATATATATATATATATATATATATATATATATATATAGTAACACACTGAATACCGAAAATAGTAATTTAAAATTCAATTATGTTATCTACTTTAGCATTTCTTTAACAGCAACACATCACCTCGCGTTGTTAGATTATGAATTCAATTAACCGTCTAAAGAATATCTAGTGATTTGATGCTTAGAATGGTGTCTTATTGCATTATTTTTAGCAATACAAGGTAACTGAAAGCAATATGAAGATTAGTAATACTGCCGTTGCATGCATCAAAATATAAAGCATGTTCAAATCAAAAAATTATTCCCGAGTTGAATAGAAACTGCAAGTGGGACTTTCTTTCGTTGAAACTGGTTTTTAATTCCAAGAACAATAGGATTTTTGTATCATCCCGCCTTGACATGCTACTGAAATAACTTTTCAGTTCTGTAAGTAGCCTACTGAGAGAAACATACAGGAAGAGGGGGGGGGGGGATGCCATGCCCAGTATAGGCACAGTGCAATCACACTAAGTTACCCGTCTTAACCTTGGTGAAACTAATGCTTCAGGTTGCTTTTGTCAGCCTTGTCAACAATCGGTGAACCTGTTTCCCCTTCCTAGGGGAGATCAACCAAAATGGCTATAAATTAAAGAAAATATTTTCCAAATTCGCCGGCGCGTTTGAACCCAATGTTTGGCACGTTATGTATTGTCGTCAGCTGTTGCTCACATGGTTTTCCACGATTGGAAAATTGACAGGAATGTTATTTTGTTAAAAAATGAGTAAACGGGAGGTGGAGTAACTGGGGGGAAAGCTGTAGCCACCGCGAAGTTCTCGCCTTACAACGGAGCCTGCTTAAACTTTGTTGTTCAAAACACGCACTGCCACGAGCGCCAAGCACGTGCCAAAAACTCGAGCTGTCAGATTCAATTTTGATTGGCAGCGGCCTCCTATATAAATAGAAACTCACAGCGGCACAAATATGCAAAATAAGAAAAGACATATTTGGCATTTCGGTATCAGTTGCATGTCAAGGAAGGGCTGAAAAGAACTCATAAAAGAATACCACTGGATTACATTACCCCCTAGTCTTAATTAAAACCTGGCAGCTTAAACACAGTTCATGTGGTTTTGGAATCGCTGGTAGGTACCATTAAGAGAATCCCACGTTATTTACATTTAGTCCAACTAAGATATGTTAACAGTTGGATCTTTGTTCCTACTATTGATGATAGGGGCTTGGTGGTATGCTGTACAAAATGTTGGAATCGTGCGTAACATATTGAATAAGGTAAACGTAACTGTAGGAATTTACCTCGAACTTTTCATAGCATAGAATCCTTTGGAATCGTGAGTAAGCACCCCACGTTAATTGTTGTACATTTTGAAGCGTAGATGCTAAGCCATAAACGGCAACTGGCAAACAATGAAAAATATGGATAAAAATTTTGATACCAGCCTTGAGATAGTAAGCAGCCGTTTGTTTACAACTTATCCCCTGCGTACTCTGACACCCCTGACCTACTCTTGTCATACCGTCTTTCATGTCAAAAGGTCAGTAAACTGCAACTGACCGTTTCTCAAAACAAACAGAAAAAAAGCAGTACGAACTTTCCCAGTGGATTAAGTATTTTGTAAAATCCTCTGGTTTGATGTTTGAGATAACAACGTTTTGTGAGGATGGAAAATGCTATTACATCTCACTTATGGTTCTTTTGTAACACATGCATCAACAAGTGTGGACATTAGTGCAATGGTTATAAATAATGTAGTTATATTATAGGAAACACGGGTAGGTTTTTGAAATTAACTAAATTATGCACTTTAGAGAATGTGCATAAAATTCTTAAAAAATGCTTCGCTAACTAATCGTTTCTAGGTCCAAAAGTTGAGTTAGTTAAACATCTTTAGCTCTTATTGTGACATGATACATCTTGGGCAGATTTTACAGAAATATCAACACCAGTAATAGTCCTTGTCAGTTTAAATGCTAAGAAATGAGCATGGCGTTGCTGTGGACATTAACTAACTGACCACAATAAAGCCACCACCCTGTTTGTCGAAACGCACATGTCCGGTATACCACTTCCCCGGCCTGTGCCCCCAAAGTCAACGTTTAGTAATATTTCACCTGGGATCACGTTTTACTGTGCTAAGTCTACTTACTGCATACTTCACATTCCGGGCTACTTGTACTTTGGTGTTTTTTACATCAAGGCAAATAGCATTCGGTATGTTAGTACCCGTAAACAAGACTTGGAGGAAAACGTTTGACACAGTTTCTCTAAAACTCAATTTAATTCTTTTGCAAGTTGTCTAAGGGGTAGAACAACGCTAGGTCACCCCGCCCGCAGTATATGTGCATATATATAAAATGCTTAATTATGTTATACTATTATACAATTAAATGTAAAATTAAAGACGTGCAGTAATTACCTCTTGGGCATACCGGGCAGCAATCATTCTCTCCCTGCACGGGGTCAACACACCGCGGTCTCTCACACACGGTAGTAGTACTTTCACATATCATCTGGCGGCCGTGGATGTCGCAGAAGCACTCCTCACAGGCCGTGCGATGGGGCATCCGAGCCCCGGGAACGTAGATCTTCCCGTCCGTGTGGCGGCAACCGTAGTCTATGCACTCCCCGCAGCATTGATCTTCGGACTTGTCGTACTCAAGGCAGTGAGGTTCCCACTGGCACTCTCGCTTATCGCATTTGGGAGTGCCACCCCCGGGTGGGCAGTAGCAGGACGTGCACGCGTCGGCCTGGAACAACTCCCCGGGGGTGTACGTCTTATTCCCGTACTTGCACACCTTATTAGCTTGCTCGGCCTCCGGGACCAGGTGGTCGGCATGGGGATGCTTATGTTTCTTTGGAGGTATAACGTAGGGCTGATCTCCTTGGGGTTGTGACACGTACTCGGCTTCTTGGAAGTCCCTCTGATCCCGTAGAGCTTCCAGTGGATCAAACTCCAGAAAACCCGGCTGTCCAGGAACGCTGAAACGTAATTGAGGAAGATAGTCTCCGACGTTCTCCTGGGGAACGCGGAATTTAAGTTTCGGCAGCAACTGCAAAGTCTCCGGTGGCTGTTGCGAGCCCTTAGCCGCAGAGGGTATGAGAAATCTCTTTGGCGAGTTTTCCAAATCTGCGTCTTTGTTAAGTTTTTTATCGAACATCGTTGTCGGCTTGCAGTAATACAACTGCGGGCTCGTAACCAAAACAAACAGAATCGCCAGAAGTGTTGATTTCACTAATGACCGTGTTGCCATGTTACCACTGACAAAACAAATAAAACAACAACAATAATATGTGTCCACGCGCGTCTTCTCACCTCAGTCCGTGTTGTGTCTATATGACGAAAGCACCCAACAAATATCTTTGCATCCACCTTCAATCTGAGCCTCACCGATGCTCTTGTAAGTGCGTATATCGTAAGGATCGAATACTTGTGTATACAGAAGTCGTGACAACGTTTTCAACAACTCTGAGAAAAACTGTTTACGGCATCTCGCTTTTATAAACTCTCTCTGGGTCAAATAAAAATTCCTGTCCCCTCTTTCTCCTGACCACTAAACGTCCTCTGGCGCATTATTAATATGTAAAGGAGGTAACAGCTGGGGCAGATACCTCGGTGTAAGGATCAACTGGATTTGAATTGGTACCACGTCAGAGTTGTCGGTTTAGGTAACCAAGCGTGCCAATAAGACCGTGCCAAAAAAGTAAACTCGATAGAACCTCAGTCCATCCTAAATACGATGATTCCATATATGCCTTTTAAAAATGAAAGCAGTTTTTTAATATGAAGTGTTTCTAAGAGTGTGTTATGTTAGATCTATCTATTTTTTCGGTTTCGATCATGAGTAATTAGAAATTTGTCTTCTTTCTATGCCATTGAGGGAAATGCAAGAGCACACTGGAAAAAAATGCTCCAAGCATTTCGCGTAGCATATGTTTCACTGATTAAAATTCGGAAAATATGTCGAAACTAATGCTGCGGTTAGATGCCGTGGTCCCCTGCATGGAGTTTTTTTTCCTCGGTCGTTTTTTTTTTCTTATCAGTTTATCACGAATTAAGCTCTGTGTTTCCAGTGGATCGAAGACACAAATAGGAAAGAAGAAAAACGAAGGAACGAATGAATGAATAAAGGAATGAATGAATAAAATTTTTAAATAAATATAAAAAGATTAAAAAATGGAAGTCTTAACAGTGGCAAGGCGTAGCGAGAGGGAGAAGAAGAAGAAGTAGAAGGGAAAGAGAAAAAGAAGTAGAAGAGACACGTTTACAAGTCATCATTAAAAAAGGAGTTATCTGTTAATACAATTCCATCATGCCGTTCACGTTTAAGTGGACGACCGGAGCAACTGAGGTGTATTTTAAGGCACCAAGGAGCTATTTCCGTGCTACCGCAACATCTTTTCCAGTCTTCCTTAGTTTTCTTATGTTTCACCAGTGACGTGTGTAGGTTCAATTTTACCTGCTTATTTTTCCGTTAGCTGGATAAAATAACATAGGAAAAGAGCTTTTTCCTGTGATAGGTGAACCCTCTTACAGCGGTTTACCGGTCGAGGTTAACTTGATGGCTATAACAGACACTAAACTGAAGTACGCGAACTTAGAATGAATTCATGAGAGAGAGAGAGAGAGAGAGAGAGAGAGAGAGAGAGAGAGAGAGAGAGAAAAAAAGAGAGAGATAACTCTTTATATATTATATTGGGATTACTCCTGATATCTTATATTGATATTTATTTATTTATATTAATCTTATGCTGCTTTCATTATTTTTTATAATTTCATCTGCAACTGTAAATACTTATCTTCTTGTTTAATAGTTTTCTATATTGTATAATTCAGTTTGTACGATTCAATATTGGCCATGATTTCAAGAAATAAATATTATTATTATGTAGATTTAAAAAACAAAGAATACGTAGGATGTAGTGAACATATAACGTATCATCACATGCTCATCCTTGGACATAATAACGAATTTTCGTAATTTTGTCCATGGTTCATCTTTAGCTTAAAATTCTCTATGTGGTACATATCAACGTCCTGTTATCTTAAATCTTTTAATTGCCATATATACATATACACACGAATGGGGGGGGGGGGGTCCTCCAAACCCAAGGAGTTAACCGTGGGGTGGGTTGCATGTGGGTTTAAAATACAAATGTGAGCGCAAGCTATTCAAAGACATCCTTTTAACCTGTACAGGATACGTATCCTGTGACACTAGAGGATCCTGTTGGCCAAAGACTCACGCTGAGAAACAAACCTATGATGACCACAGAGTTTGTAAGACATCATGCCGTAAGGAATTTGCACTGAAGCTAGTTTCCTGGGCCATTTTAATGATCTTAAAATTTTTGTTCGTGTAATCAATTTTTTCTCAGTGCCTTCACTTTCTCCCCCGCCTAATTATAAACCATTTCTTTTGGGAGCCAGAAAGAGAAAGAAAAGATGAAACATCATGGATTAAAGATAGAGAGTATCTCGCGCTCTTTCACCTACTTTCCCAGTAGCAACAACAAAAACATTAACAACAACATTTATAATGATGATGATGAATATCTTGGAAATATGGTAGCTTTACCAGTTGAAAAGCAAACTTTAATTAAAACATTAAAATATTGAAGGTAAAACCTACATATTTTATAAGCTCTTGATAAAAAAGAAAAACAATAATTTAAATTAATTAAAACAGTTTTCAATTTCATCATTTCCGTCCACCTGCACTAGCGACAAATGTCTTAGACTGGGTTCCCATACCTAGATCGATCTAACAGGATCGATCCATCTCCATGGGGTTTCTCGCTAAATTGCTTTCAGCTTAAGCAACTTAGATGTGTGGTACACCTACTAAAGCTGCTAAACGATAATTAATTACCCCCTAGCAGCTTCAGTAGGCGTGACAGACATCTAGGCCGCTTAAGTTAATTGCAATTTGGAGATAGATCGATCCACAGTTAGTACGATAGGGTCTGGTAATGGTCCCTTAAACTCCACATCATACATAAGGGCGTACGATTTGGTCACACGCGTGACGACCTAAGAGCGTAACACAGCCTTAAAGCGTCACATGACGCCATCGGTAGCTAAAGATTGATTCACATGGAGTTTACAACTGAAGCGCAATGGGCTCAAAATGTGGACTGTTCACGTCAAATGGAAAGTCTCTTTTCACGGTTTAAGATGGTCCAGTGTATGCACGTGCCCACCGTGATCCAGCCTGCCACCCCTGAGCGAGTGGGCGGGTGACATGTTTAGAAAACAAGCAAACTGTCATCTTTACAAGTAGGATGAAGAATACAAATTACGCAACAAGCAAGAAATGCTAGCACTGGTGAAAAGATGATGAGAATGGCACATCCAGTTAATCAGACAGGCTATATTCAGGTCATTCGGTGCAATTAATGAGTCTGCACTCTGCGTACTATGGCATTTTTTCTGGGCTTTCCCAAAAAGTTTTTGGCTTTAACTTCATTATTATCAAGTCAATAATCCTCTGCTGTACGGACTAAGTTTTTAAGACCGACAAAATTAAACAAGCGGACACAAAGCTTTTTGCGCTTTTATGCTTTGAAAATAAGGAAAGGGCCTTTAAGTCATTTTTAAGGACATTGCTCATTGTTTTTGCATTATTACGGGCACCAAAATGTGCCCCCCCCCCCCCCCCCCCCCCCCATTTCTTTAAATCCTGGATCCGCCAGCATGAAAGGTATTTTTGTCCTTAACCTCATACAAATATGTTAAAGTCGCAATTTAAAAGTTCAAAAGGAAATTTACCCTTCATTTCTTTTTTTAAAAGTAGACGATATATTATTAAACAAATTACTCTTCTGTGTCAAACTGAAACATGCATTTCGAAAATAAAAACTTTCATAGTCACCCTGAGTTTTACTGGAATAAAACTAACCTCTGTCGTCAACATGCCTATTTCAAGTTATCTCCGACAGTTTGCGTAATGAAAGTATGGCTGGCTATAGAAATGTACGCTTTACGATCTTTCAAAAGAAGTTTCTTGTGAGAATGAGCATCAGATATTTTAGCCTTATCCAACGTCAAGATGTGTCTGAAAGACAAAATGAAGAGCACAAACGACTTATAAAATGTCATAATTTTATTGAACACTATTAGTAAGAAAAAGTTTACACATGACCGCATTGATGAGAGATGAGACGACGGTTATATATCTAACAGTTTAGCTTGTTATAAGGTCACTTTACGCTACTTAAATGTTATTCACAACAATGGTCACGTAAAAAAGTCACATGATCCGTTACCACAGGGACCAATTCGTGACGACATACATGCTCGGCACGGACCTCACAGAGGACACTTGACCACCTCCCACTTCAAGATTAATTTACATAACGTTGAATATATCTTAACAAAGAATTCAGAGCTGGGCCTTGATAAGGATTAATCTTGGGGTGCTAAATTCATGTATGCCCCCATTGTAAAGAACAACATATTTGTCTACATGCGCAAGATCAAATGGAATAAAATGATGGACACAGTTAATATATCCTCTTTTTTTTTCAATACTTGAATGTGACTAGTTTTCGCCATATTTGTCTATTGTTAACTACTTCCGCATGCATTTTGTTTAGTTTTCCACCAACACCATTGTGCTTCTGACCCCTGGCTATGTTTTTTGTTTAATGATTTTTGTCCAGTTCATGCTTAACCATACCAAGCCTTTGGACTTCAGAAGCAGAGTTGGCCACCTGTTTAAAGAGATGCATTCTTGCCAAAGGTTTGGCTAGCGCACCAAATTCATCAACTACCAGAAAACATTTCCGTCGCATTAATTAATGCACAGAAAGGCAAACATGGCTTTTAAATGAGACATCATATCCAAGTTTTGAAATATTTAACCATCCTTGTAACTAGTGACTGCACCACCAAGCAGATATCTAGACATATAAAAAGGTATTGCAATCAAATAAGATTTAAGATATTAACAGACATCACTATGCTGAGAAAGGAAAATTGGTGCAGCAGAAATTCTAGTTAAGATGCTGTTTTAAGCTCAATCCTTTCCACAAATGGGATAAGCCGACAGAAGTCACATGATCATGATGTTATGGATGTATGTCACATGATCATGGTGTCAGACAGTCTGACTGGTGTGCATGCCTTCTCTATAAAAATAGTGGGATTCATTTCTGCACATGAAATGTAATTATGAAATAAGCTGAAGATTTAACAGTGTCTAATTACAAAATTGGAACAAACCTCAGTTCCTTTTTCTAAGACAAAAAATAATAATGACAGATTTCTTTTTAGTACCGAGTAATAGTGACACACACAATAAGAAAATAATATTCAGAACTATTTTCACTATTACGCTTTTAATCGCAAACAAACTTATTCTTCTTGAAGCATTGACTACTAGTTTGCTTATTCTACAAATGCAAAATTCACACAAATATGTTCCATTCAAGCCTAGATTTATCACAGTATTTAGCACATGACAAGAAAAGGGAAAAAGAATTTGTTTGGAAGTAAATCTATATATCAAATGTGCATAATTTTGAATAAGCATTCTGTGCCAGATCAAGTGCCAGAGCATAATCAAACTGATTGACAGCCTAAAAATGAAGTTATCTTCATATACCATGTCATCATATAGATGCCTTGCACGTGATTTGATACACATCACCTCGACCAAGCTGCCCTGCAGAAAAGGCCCAGGTGTCCATAACAGTATAACACACAACACCCAACACACAAAAAAAGGTGAATTGGAAATTCCCATTGTCTTATAACTACTCATTAAATGGTGACAACAGTGACCCTCTAGGTATATATCCTAACATACATACTCAAACAAATTCTAGATGAGATTTTATCTTAAAGGTGGTTATTGGTAAATTGTGCATTTGGTTTTCTGAATAGAAGTGATACACGTGCAAAGTATCTATACTAGACATCAAGTGGAACGTTATCCTGAGTAAAAATTAACTATTTGATCTATATGATACAAGTTTCAACCATCCTAATAAAATATGTCTGACCAGATGGCCCTTGGTCTCCATGTATTATATGTATAACTGTATATTCATATTAATATTCACTTTCAAGTATATATATCATATTTATAAATGCTAAGCCTTGACAATATTGACCAAACTCGGGGCATGAGTTTGGTGATGAAAATCATTTAACCAAGTTTTTTTGCTGCAGCTTTTCAGACACAGTTGTAAAATCACAATTTTTCATTTGCCTAAATGCTGTAATAAGCTGATAAAAGCCTTCATGAGCCAATTCATGTACTGTATAAAGATCAACAATGTAATTACCAGACAAGCAGGCTATTTTCATTTCTCTCTGGGCAATATGAATGATGATGGCAATGATTGTCTAATATAGGTTGAAATTAGATGAAAAACTGTCTTCCTGTGTGTGTGTGTATGTTTGTGTGTCTGTCTGTTTGTCTGTCTCGAGGTCTATCTGTCAGGCAAATCATGGGCACTCCTTAGCGCAGCTAATGGGGAGCAAGTTGCCATATACATGTCTTGTTTGTTTTTGCACGATAATTTTCACAACCCAAAAGTACTCATTAAGTATAAATATAAGAATATTGACTCCCTGCTGTTGTTATTGTAGTCATTTCTCTATCGCTGCTGTCATGTTTGCACAATCACATTACAGTATCAACATATGGTGCCTCACAGAACATTTCAATACCCGGCCAAACACTGGCATTCTCTGTCTTTATGCCAAATAACTGCACTTTTCTTAAGTCAAATCAGATTTTGGATCAAATAATAATAATAATAGTAATAATTAAACTGGCGAATACTTTAAAATAATACATCATCTCTAGCCAAATTAAATCATTTCCAGCATTTGAATTTACACAAGCATGGGCCAAGAAAAACATCATTGTTAAAACTAGTACAAATTTCCTTTAAAATGGTATATATACATCAGGAATGATCCTTGACTGTTAGAAGGTTTTCCCACGCAGCAAAATGTGGTGTGTCTATTGTGTTAGCAGTGTTACCTATGAAGGTGACACATAAACATATGCCAATACAGTGTGTAATGGCCAGTATCATGACACCACATATGCATCATGATAATTCCATCACTGTATTGGTAATGGGATATTTACCAATATTATACAAATTATATTCACTATGTTTACTGCAACCTTCAGAGATATAAAAAGTTCCCATCTTCATTAGATCAACAAAGCAATCCCATAGTGCGCCATATTACAAAAAGAAAATGAAAAAAAAAAAAAAAAACATTTAAGTGCATGATATGTTTTTTCATCCTCTTCAATAATGGTGGAAAGTGAATAATTCAACAAAAAGTATCTGCTACTCCCTGATTTGTGCAAACATTTTTTCACAATTGTTATCATCATATTGTTATCTGCAGCTTGTGTTATACACGACGCCCCTTCATCTCCACTTGTTCTTTTCTTCCTCCCTTTCCTCCACTTCTCTTGCCTCGGCCATGGGGCGGGGCACCTTGGCTTGGGCCAGGGTATGGAGGGGGCGGCTCCTGGGGGTGGCGGTGCTGTGGAGAGAGAAAAAAATTGTTACCATTTTCAGTACAAACATTCCCATAATGCTAGGGTGTTAATGGGGAAATGTTTATTTTTTTTTTAGAATTCAAACATTTTTTTTTTTAAACTTGTAATTAGGTTATATATGTCAAAATACTATTTTATCAATAAGCGTAGCAAATTTTTTTGTTAGAATAAGGAATGATTTACATGTATCAATAAAGAGATGGACAGAAAAAGAAACAGAAATACTGTGTCACATTCTAACTCACCCCCTCTCGGTATTGGCGAATACTCTGTCGCGGGTGCCTCAGCGTGTTCATGGTTTCGCTGACCTTTCGTGCAGGTTTTTTATTAGGGTTGCTGCTGGGAGTGTGCACAGCACAAAGTTTAATAAACAAAGCCATGAAGATGATCAGACCTATGATCATAAGAACCACTGCCCACCAATAAGTCTGGAATTGAATCATTAATCAATGAAAATTTTTTAGAAAAATGTGTCCAAAATGATTTTTATCTTTTTTCTGTTGTTGTTGTTGTTGCTATAGGACACAATGCAAGAAAGAATTAATTCACAATTTATATGACCAAATTTGTATCATTCATCTCCACTTTCTCAATGCTGACTAAAATTCCTACAGACTACTGATAGTATTTTTTATAAAGACAAGTCTAGAGATATCTTCTTACAAGACAGATTTAAAAAAATATTTCATTTGGTAACCTTAAAGAACTGCCTTTTTTCCTTTCTTATTTTCTTTCTTTCTTTTTAAAAAAAGTATTTACAATACCATTCTAGTTCTCAACTTACAATAATCCAATCCTTAATTGAATTAAGTGTCTGCTCATTAAAAAGTAAGTTCTTGAGTCTTGCCAAGGGTCCATCAGCATCCACCCCTCGACATTTATAAAACACATCACAGTAGCCAGCAAAATTATTACATGGCGCACCTGGTACAAATACAGATGGAAAGCAGGTAAACATGGTATACTGGCATTTCACAAAGAACTAAGTGGTTTTCCTTTTTTCCAACAAAATGTTGGCTACTGAACATTTAAAATAAATATACTCTTAACAAATAAATGTCATCCATCATTGTTATCATCTTTATCAATATCATCTAATATCCCTAACATTATTATGCTAGAGGTGTCCTGGTGAAACAAACCCCATCTAGCCTTTCATAAACCTTCATCAATCCTTACACACAACTATTATAATAAAATTCATTTAAAGTCCAAAATCGTTAGAAGTTCAGTAGACTTTACAATGATAAAATACTAAAATATTACAACATTAAAAACAAGTTGTAAAACCATCATACAAATCAAAACTACATGCCCAACAATGAAATTATTCTACCCCATCTATATAACACCTATCAATAAACTACACCACCATCAAAATCCACTATTCTATCCTAGACACCCATCCACTCCCACTCACAACTATACACACCAGTATAACATTATACATGGACGCTCTACTCACCAGGGGGCGCTTTGATAGCAGCTCCATTGGTAACATTTTGTAACATGTCCTTAAAAGTATCTGGAAAACCGCTATCCTTTTGATTCAAAGAGCTCCAGCATTTTGTAGCATTCCCTTCTACAATTAGGAAAATACATCGTTTTTCACATTTAAATTTAAGTGTCAAAAATATTTTAGAAAATTATCAAATTATCAAAAAAAAATGTAAAAATGAAACCATGAACCATAAATTATATGCCTCTCCACCCCTTATTAAAAATACATTTAATAACAGTCCGTGATGCTAACTACTGGACGGACTGCCAACGCCAGGAAAGGTAAAATTTCTGAAAACCAGTGGGTTACCTACTTGGGCCAGTGGATTTTTTCAGCTGTTATGTACTCAAATTCATTTTTATAAATGTTCAGACTAGATGTTGAGACCTTTTTTTAAAATAACCTTTTGAAAATAATAATAAAATCTCAGACCCTGGTGGCCCGGATGGCCTGTAACTTGAAAAGTCTGAAAGGACTGTTATTATAACAGAAATATTAAGAACACCAACATACCTCTACAAGATACATAACATAAGGATGTCTTGTCAACTTCTTTATCTGCAAGATCAGCTTTAATGAAGCACTCCTCCCAGCGGACATTATTACTCTCTATTCTTTCACATATAGACCCAGTGCATTCCTAAAAAGAAAGTGGAAAACATCTTTAACCACATAAAGTCTATTACCTGGTTAATATTGAAGTGAGTTATCCTTGCCTGACAAAATTCCTTACACTCACTATCAAATTACCAGTGTGAAGGCTTACTGAAAGAATGAAAAAGGCTGGGAACTTTTATTTGTTTTATACAATATTCAAATTCTATGCCATGTCAAAAGGGCAATAACTGCTGATATAAATGAGATATTTAAATTAATAAGTTTTACACTACACAGGAAGCACAAGGTACCACTTGTTTATAGAAATAGAAGCTGAATACTGTGGTCAATTCATCGGTCAAAATTACTGAAGAGATACATTGGTGTAAAAACACTGACTGCTCCATTTATTGCCATTGTTAGGAATCAGGGGATTGCAAATTGCCAGTGCTGAGTAGGGTTATGTCATCCACATGTTTAAATATCACGTTACAACACTTTCAAATAATAAAACTATTCTGATAGAAATTCATCTGTGTAGTCTTTGTAGGAAGGTCACTTTGTGATCAAAATCTTTGTAAGGTGTAGTTTAATTTTGTGTAGAAAGTGAAAAGTTAGGTCTTATAACATGACAATCATATTGTAAATCTAGCAATATCCTTATGAAGGAATCACTGTGATAAGATATACTGAAAACAGAAAAAAAAAACTTACCCCTTGTTTGCATACTTTGGTATTATTTTTACAAGATGAAAAGTCCGCCTTCAATCTTGAGTCTGGACAAGTGTAGTTTGTTCCCGTGAGACGGGAGTTAAGGCTAATATTTTACTGACAGAAAAGAGTACTTCATTTATGATTAAATCGCATGCAGTTAAAATCAGCTTAAAAGTTATCAGAGCATATGGTCATATATAAAAAGGCTGGCAGTGTGAAAATGTGACTTCTAAATCTCGATTAACTATAATTATTATCACAATTCTCCATTAGGCAATCTGGTCTATAATACAAAAGTGAAATGCTCCTGTAGACCAAGGATATTTACAAATCTGTTGTTCATTGCAATCTGCAGCAGCTCTGCATACAAGATTCCTTGACTCTGGAACATAGTCACAGGTGTCTGCATCACAACATGGCCCTTGCGATGGGCTAAAAGAAAAATTTATGAATGAAAAATTAAGCAGTTGCCCTACAATTCAACCGTAATGATTCCACTCCCTGACGTTGATTTTACATTCAAGATAATATATAGGCAATCACAGTTTTACCAATTTTAGTTTATGTGTCCATTACTGCTTACAATGCCTAAAAATGGTAAATAAGCATTTCTATTACGATTAGCTTTTCAGTTGCTGAATAATTACAGGCAGTTCAAGAAAATGCCATTTTAATGGCAGATCCAGGTGGCACAAAAGGAATATGTCCTTTCATCTTCTAAAGAACCAATCCCCTGCCCTAAAAATTACATAAAATTGTCCTCTTCTACAATTTTATATTCACTGAGCAAAGCAAGGCTAAAATATTTTCATGCTCGTTTTTCCCTTCAGCAAAATGTGACATCTGGCACTGTAACAATCCATATTTCCCCTTACCTACACACTTTGCCAGGCTTTCTTTTACATGCATTACTGCTACTGCCACTTTCTACTGCTGGGTTGCAGCACTTGTCTGTACATTCCCCATTGCTGTTGGCAAATCCACAGTCACATTCCTCTCCTTCTTCTACTATGTTGTTTCCACAGAAAGCAGCTTCACTGCCTGTGGCACAGAGGATAATATCATTTAGTATTTTTGAAGATATAAAATTTATGCTTCATGCAACACATTATGTATTTGACTGTAGAGAAAAATCAAAATAGGTTTTTATTAATAAATATTAAATCAAATATGCCAACTTTTTATTAATGTTCACCCAACAAAAAAATGACTCAATCAAAGATCCATTTTCTCTTACAAATGTGACTAACAAGCACTTGTCACTACAGCCAAACATTCTAGATTTGATATGAAAATCTATTAAAAGCAAATTGATAAATTATAAAGATTTTAATAAGGGTGATATTTCTAGATATATGAACCACTGGTACACTATTATGAATGAAATTCACCCATTTCCATGATTCTATTTGTAGCTGGTAAAAATCAGAAATTTAGAATTGAAGAACTGGTTTGTGGGTTGGAATTTTCTCTTCAGTTTGGGTTAGGGTATACTTTGGTGAAAAGGTGTTCAAATAAGAAGGAAAATCAATATTTTGCTATGTAAAGGTCTTATAGCACTCACTGAATGGACGTAGTTAATCTTACCAATAAGACAGTTCGCTTTAGTTCCCCTGTTCAGAGCATCAAGAACCAGAGTAATGTTGTCTTTACTGCAAGGGGAGAACAACTTGTTGTTGGATTTGTCGCCAGAGGTAGCACTTGCAAACATGATATAGTTCCCGTTCCTGTCACCCATTGACGTGTAGGGTGTACACTCACTTCCCTGGTCATGCTGAAATATTTATATTTAAATTTTCAGTACTTATCTATTTGTCTATTTATTAACTTATTTAATTTTGTATATATTTGTATATTTTTTCTTTGCTCACTTATTTTGTTAATTTTTCTTTATTCAATTCTTATTTATTACTTTTTCATTTATCAACATAAAGCAAGTGCAAATAGGATTCTGTGGTCATTTTCTCTAATTCGAAAAAAAAAATCTCTTTGTCTTAAGCATTACAGTTTTATTTTGTAGATTACATTCCACATCTGAGTAAATATTTTACACTAAATTAATGCAGTATTTTAAATATCTCCTTTGGCCACATAAGAAAAGATCCATACATATGATATATATATATATATATATATATATATATATATCCTATGCACTTTCTCTTTTCTAAGGGCCTATTCCCAACTCTGCAGAGACTCACATACACAGATTAACATGCATCCCCTTGTTTCTAATGCACTCTTAAAATCACAAACTTTTCTGTATTCTACTCAACATCAGGAGGAGGCGTGTTAATCTGTTAATCTGATTGCATACAACGAGAGTCCCTGCAGAGATGGAATGTTCTATGTAGAACAGATTCATTGGGAATGTGCCCTAACACACTATGGACTCACTGGTGACCCAAAGTTATGACCGATTTCGTGGGCCAGCGTCAGTGAGGAAACCCTGGATGGAACAGTCTGCCCATAGTTAATGAAGGTCACAATGCCTGTGTTCAGACTCTTGTACACTTTGGTGACCTTACTGCCTGAGCTATCCTGCTCACTGTACTCCTTCCATCTTTCACATATGCCACCAGATGCCCCTTAAGAAGAAGTCACATTTTTAGTATGTGCGTGCGTGCGTGCGTGCGTGCGTGCACATGCATGCATTACTTCCATATATGAATAATTACACAAACAATAGTTAAATATTTATGTGATTTAATGTATGATTTAAAATTCATGTTTAAAAAGTTTCATCAGTTTGGTAGATAGTAAAAATCAAATACCCTTTTGAAGATGGCCAATGACATGTTGAAATACTTCACAAGAGTTTTCTTTTTCTAAGTTTGTGACAAAAGAACTTTTCATCTCAAATCGATCGATTAATCAATCAATCAATCAACATATAAATAAATTCAGTAATTAATTAAGCTGTATGATAAACTATTGGCTACGTATTACAAAATCTTTGCACCACTTACTTCCTGAGGAGCCCACCCACGCCAGTCCCAGGGTGCCTCCAGTGAAATCACGATACGTGAACATGTACGCCAGGCAGTACTTGTTGTGGTTCATTTTAGAGTTTAGGTTCAGGAAGTTGCTGACATCTATATGTGCGATGCAGAAGTCTTTCACGTTTGCTTCTGAACAGTCACTACGCTTGAAAACCTGAAAGTAACATTTAATGGTATAAATAGTTTGAGATCATTCTTCTGGTAGGTGGTAATTAACCATAAAGTTGGGGATTTTTTGAAAAAGAAAAGAACTTATTAAACTATGTTTAAAGTTAAATAGTAACTGTAAATCTTCTACTGCGACTGCAGCCTTGTTCACTCTGACAACTTGACTTGAGAATTACTTCACATGCCACCTAGAATGAGAAAAGCCAACAGGCCTGTTCTCCTGTGCTTCTCATATCTGTTTAAACTGCCACATAGTAACATGCATACATGAACAATAAACATACCATTTTTGATGCTGAGAAAAAAGCTCCATATGTTGAGTTTCTCACATAAACAAACAAGTAATGAATGCAAGCTACACCATGTCTGAGTCTTCTTCTCTCCTCATACAGTGATATTAGTCATTTACAACATTTGTCAACAAGGCCTATGTAATATGTGTATTTTAAAATACACCTTGCTGATTCATGGTATATCTAATACTTACCCTCACTCTTTGAACACGGAAACTATAACCAGTCAGTTTCTTGGATCCATCATATGTCTCAAATATTGTCTTCTGATATATGTCCTTGATGGCCGTGACATGGGTATGAAACATGGCTATAATGGCTTCTTCTNATATATATATATATATATATATATCCTATGCACTTTCTCTTTTCTAAGGGCCTATTCCCAACTCTGCAGAGACTCACATACACAGATTAACATGCATCCCCTTGTTTCTAATGCACTCTTAAAATCACAAACTTTTCTGTATTCTACTCAACATCAGGAGGAGGCGTGTTAATCTGTTAATCTGATTGCATACAACGAGAGTCCCTGCAGAGATGGAATGTTCTATGTAGAACAGATTCATTGGGAATGTGCCCTAACACACTATGGACTCACCGGTGACCCAAAGTTATGACCGATTTCGTGGGCCAGCGTCAGTGAGGAAACCCTGGATGGAACAGTCTGCCCATAGTTAATGAAGGTCACAATGCCTGTGTTCAGACTCTTGTACACTTTGGTGACCTTACTGCCTGAGCTATCCTGCTCACTGTACTCCTTCCATCTTTCACATATGCCACCAGATGCCCCTTAAGAAGAAGACACAATTGATATCGTGTGTGTGTGTGTGTGTGTGTGTGTGTGTGTGTGTGTGCACATGCATGCATACTTCCATCTATGAATAATTACCAAAACAATAGTTAAATATTTAATATGTGATTTAATATATGATTAAAAATTCATGTTTAAAAAGTTTCATCGGTTTGGTAGATAGTAAAAATCAAATACCCTTTTGAAGATGGCCAATGACATGTTGAAATACTTCATGTGAGTTTACTTTTTTCTAAGTATGTGACAAAGGAGCTTTTCATCTCAAATCGATCGATCAATCAATCAATCAATCAACAAATAAATAAATTAAGTAATTAATTAAGCTGTATGATAAACTATTGGCTACGTATTACAAAATCTTTGCACCACTTACTTCCTGAGGAGCCCACCCACGCCAGTCCCAGGGTGCCTCCAGTGAAATCACGATACGTGAACATGTACGCCAGGCAGTACTTGTCGTGGTCCATTTTAGAGTTTAGGTTAAGGAAGTTGCTGACATCTATATGTGCGATGCAGAAGTCTTTCACGTTTGCTTGTGAACAGTCACTACGCTTGAAAACCTGAAAGTAACATTTAATGGTATAAATAGTTTGAGATCATTCTTCTGGTAGAAAAGAACTTATTAAACTATGTTTAAAGTTAAATAGTAACTGTAAATCTTCTACTGCGACTGCAGCCTTGTTCACTCTGACAACTTGACTTGAGAATTACTTCACATGCCACCTAGAATGAGAAAAGCCAACAGGCCTGTGCTTCTCATATCTGTTTAAACTGCCACATAGTAACATGCATACATGCACAATAAACATACCATTTTTGATGCTGAGAAAAAAGCTCCATATGTTGAGTTTCTCACATAAACAAACAAGTAATGAATGCAAGCTACACCATGTCTGAGTCTTCTTCTCTCCTCATACAGTGACATTAGTCATTTACAACATTTGTCAACAAGGCCTATGTAATATGTGTATTTTAAAATACACCTTGCTGACTCATGGTATATCTAATACTTACCCTCACTCTTTGAACACGGAAACTATAACCAGTCAGTTTCTTGGATCCATCATATGTCTCAAATATTGTCTTCTGATATATGTCCTTGATGGCCGTGACATGGGTATGAAACATGGCTATAATGGCTTCTTCTGTACGCATCTCATCCTGTGAGTTGAATAAAAATGAAAACATAAAGAGAATTCTTGAAATTTGATTAAACCACTAACTCACTTGACATCACTACTTAGAACTCATTCTATTAAAGTCTTAAAACATATTAAAGGTAAAAGAAAAGTAAAATCTTCCCTTAGAAACCTTCTATAAAAATTCTCTGAAATATATATAAACAAACAAATAGGAAATAAAATTAACACTAAAAAACAATCATATAAATAATGCATAATATACAAACATTAATAAACAAGGACTGGAGTGGAACAAAATAGAACAGGGTAAATACAGCAGAGTAGGGAGTACATATAGCAGAGCATAGTAGATAAAGCACAGTAGAGTACGTACAATAGAGCAAAGCAGAGCAGAGTAGAGCAAAATATTCAAGATGCAGCAAGTTGGACCTCAACTATGTAACATACATTATGCATTTGTATCATGTGATCCCACAGTGCAGGGTCTGACTGTAAAAGCAGACTGCAGGTGTTATTTTGCGGAGTGGTTACAGGGACAGTCGCTCTCTTCTGCCTGTTTTCTTCCTCTCGTTTCTCCCTGTTCAAAGCCTCAGAATAGATATTGTGTTCCCTCTGATGATCTTCCCTGGTAGCCGTCCTGTAACTTCTCTGGAAACATAAACATAGGTGTCAGGACTGCATACTCCAATGTTAAATATAGGTGTCAGCACTGAATATTTTCTTGCTTTACATCTATAGGTGTCAAGACTCTTTACTTATTTGGTTATTAAACACTCATTTTGACTGTCATTTGGAAGTTTTCACTAAGATATTAGATTTATTTTGGTTTAAGACAAAAAGATGCTTTCTATTGTGTACTTGTCAACATGCCATTTATATGGCAAAGAAATAACTGTCTAGATATAATATATGTCACTTGGATCCAAGAGCTCCATTTATAACAAACCCTGCAGAAGCAAAGTCATATTTGCTTCTTATAATCAAGGACCGTTTTACAAAGAACTTGAAACTTTAAAAATTTTCTTACTTCCAAAGCTGTTCTAAATTCTTTAGTTCAAAATACAACAGAAAGAAATGTTTTTTTTTAGTATGAATATTTAGGTGCACAATGAGCAGTATGCAGAGAAAAGACCTATTTTCAATTTTTAAAAAATTAATCTCCTATTCATCACTTAATCAACAATCAGCATGGCACAACTATCCATAAAGGTTGAAAAATTAATATCTAGGAAAATTTTCTCTCTTAATCCTCCCTCCTTTTTAATTTTTTATTTATATTTTTGCTATATAAAGATCTAATACACATTGTATAATTAAGTACAAATCTCCTTACCTTCTTTACATCCACAGCAGAATTCTGAACTCTGCTCATCCAGTCTGCAATGTCACTATTGCTACTTCCACACTGAGCAGTACCAGCTGCACTGCGGATATGCCTGAAAAAATAAAAAAATAATACAGTTACCAGGATAACTTTAAAACAAGAGACCCATTTCACAACTTTTCAGAAAGTTTTGGGTTGAGTGAATACCACTCAGGTTGCACAGACTTCCAAAATAAAATTCACTGTGAGATATTGGTTTTGAGCATTTCACAAAAGATTGGCCCAGAATAAACGTAATGCAAAACTCAAAATGGGAAGATATTTTTGGCAATATTATCAATGATAATAATATATTGCCCTAAAAGTAATGTGAACAGATAACTGATAATTCTACTCAAAGCCACATCATGTGGAGTTATCATGCTGGTAGAGCAATGAAAATTGTGGTAGAGGAGACCTTGTATACAATAAAACAATGTGGCACAACAGTTTGTGAAATAGGCCCACTGCCTCCTTCCAGAAACATAAATTTAGATGTTATTTGGTATGTACCATTACTGGACCAGTGTTTGTCCTGCTAAAGATCAAGGCAATACATAATAAACTAGAGGATCATAGAGGCAAAAAAGAAATGCAATATTTCCCTAAGTTCATGCCTTTATCTTTAGAGTTTTAATAATCTCTCAGTGGCATTAAATATTTAATAAAGATAATATTCATATATAAGAATTCTAGAAGTGCTTCTCACCTGTATGGGTCCATATCCATATGATCCTCATGGTAGATGATGGAATGGAACTTTTTCTTCTCTGTGACTTCTTTAGAGAAGTACTTGTTGGCATGTTCTATGTGCCACCTTCCAGTCTCTGGGGACTCAATGGTTCCTGTGAATACTCCTCCCAACACACTGCCATACACAGATGACCCGGGCTCACCTGGAAGGGGAGGGGCACAAATATACAGATTAGCTACTACTGTCTTAACTATAAATGCCACCAGTATTGTGAATGTATCTTCACGGCTACAAATGATGTAAAATGCATTTTACAGACTGGTGATAACAGTATTAACACATGCATTTATCCTCACTTTATGAGAAAAAAATATTTTAATTTTGAATTCATATATAAAACCTTTTTGTTTCAAAAGAAAACAGAGGACATTGACATAAAGGAGTCAAAATAAGTAGTAAATGTAACATTTGGGTATGAGTACGTAAAAAAAAAAGGCATTCCATGAGTAATGGACTTAGATTTTTATCTTTGGTAAAAAAAACCATGGTCACCATAGATGTCTAAGTTCATTTGTGGATTATGCATAGCTATGACACTGATGAGAAAATATTTCTCCAAAATGGTACGCCTTTCATACATCTAAGTCTATGCTCATTACAGCATTGTGCATCTTGTCCAAATTCTACTTAAATTCTAATTAGCAAAAGAAAATGGAAAACACTCTTTTTCTGCCAAAATCAACACAGTGACTGATTAAGTTCAATATGTTAGGCTAAAATTATCAGATGTTTAGCTGATGGAAATTTTACCCTGTGGTAAGCCCAGAAAGACAATGATTTCAGACCACCGTCAATAACTTGTATGTGTCTACGAGAAGCTTTGAACATTGCCTCCCACATTTTATCATAATGATCTGCAATATTTTTGTTGGCAAAGTTAAATAGAGACCATGATGGACCATGTGTTTAGTGACTTGATCAAGATGGCCGTTAAAACAGTTATTCATATCACTGACTATGATGGTGACAATGTTTACATTTCTGATCTGCCTAAAATAATCCAAATATTTGGCAAAAAGAAATGTTATCTTGGAGAGAGCCCCAACCATGTATTCATAATGTGTTTCTATTTATAACTTATAACTCTAGGGTAAGTCCAACATATATCATGAGGATAAGTAGATGGGGGCAACATCTCGAAAAGGTTTGCTCTGTGCCATACTTGACCCCCCCCCTCCCCTTTGTGCTTAGATTGCAACAAATCCAGGCAACTGGTGGACCATGCTTGCTATAATTATACCGCCATCTAATAGTCTTGTAAAGTATACATCAATCTAGATTACGTCACTTTGATCAAATGTAAAATTATTTTTGACTTGTATATAATATATTAATTATATTAATATTGAATTTTACTAGACATCTGTTACTCAACTGGACATCTATATACCCTCTTCATCAACTGGACTAAAATTTTATTGTTCTTTAAAATTTCCAAATTGACTGACACACTTATATTGGACAGATATTCTTTTTTCATTGACTGAGATCTCATTTTATCAAAGGTTATTTTTGAATTACGCAAATCAAAATCTGATCCCAACTACAGCTTATCGCGTTGCTAGAGAGATAAACATACAACTTACTTACAACAGGCGTTTCACCATTACTAAAGATAAGCTGCCTTAAATACACGCAAATTAGATTACATATAACATAAGTAATATGACCACTGTTACTATTACCAATGGGAAGTTTAGAGCAGTTTATTTTTACACTTTAACATAATTCTGTGGGATAAAATACTATTATTCAGTATCCACATTTCAAATATATTCCTAACATTAAGTGGCCAGTGAAAGTCTCACATTTTATATTTGTGAACTGCATTAACTCAATCTTGTTGTCAACAAAATTGTCCTTATCAAGTATGAATAACCTTTTTCCACTTTACAGAGAAGAAAACTAACTAAACAAGATGATGGAATCTGATGGAATCTCTATAATGGCTGCCCCCTGGCCTAAATTACTGATATCAAAATGCATGAGGATCTGAGGCCAATATTACAGACGGCAGGCATGGTTGCTTCTATCTGATAAGACCAAGAGTGAGGGTCAAGGAGGGCCTATCTAACTGGCTTATCATGTGACTAAGTAAAGACCGATCTTCCACACAAAACTGAGAGGAAAACAACAAGTTTCCACCTTTCTTAAATATCAAAGTCAATAGTCATTAGGTATTAGTTGAAAGTTGATTAAAATATTCATTTTTGATATATTCCATTCTAACAATGGTAGCAAAAAAAAACTACTTTTTGGGTATGGTATGTGTATTATTTCTGTTGTTGTGTCAATTTTGTGAAAAAAAGTGGTTGAAATAAAGTGTGTTGCAGAAAAAATCATTTATCCACAAGTTTTCACAAGAAAAAAGGAAAATAGCAACACATTAAAGCTAAGTACATTGTGTCCCAATTTCTGATATAAAGAAATTGTGTACATATATGATGACAATTTTAATGATCAAAATATCTGACCATTATACAAGACACTGTCATATTCAGCAGTGTATATAAGGCAGTGTTACTATATATATAAAGAACTGTGGTGATCTTAAACTTTAGCAGCAAGTATTCTCAATGATGATAAGTGTGATTTGGCTGCCACCAAAGGCAATAATATAATAGACTTGGCATCACACTTATAAGGCGCATTCACAATAAAAGTAATGTACTAGGTAGTCGGTAGAGACTCTCGCCTCCTCTTGCATTGAACGTAATCGTATAATCATCAGCTTACATCTGTATTCTATTCAAAACCAGGAGGAAGTGTGTTACTCCGTTCATCTGATTACATTCAGCAAGAGTCCCGATAGAGTTTGTTCAAACTACCTAAATCATTAGTCTGATTGTGAACACACCCATACAGCAGCATCACATTTAAGAAGTTGTTTTCCATTATTTTCTATCACCTCTAGATGTAAATTTTAACAACTAGTACTAAATTTCGATTTGACCTAGTAAATATTTTAAAGTTTCTATTTACTAGCAAGATTGACCAGTCAGTGGGCTGGCCAGTTACAGGTGAATCCAAATACTTTGAACACTTACCCCGTAACTGCCCTCTGTATAGAAAACTGGTGTCCAATGGCTTTGTACTTCCATCTCCATATTCGATATCTGCATTTTTACTGAAGATCTTGGAGTCTTTTTGAAGTTCTAAATTAAAATTTCTGCAAAACAAAGTGAAGAATGTTTTGTATCCTTTTAAAGTATTAAATGAAAATTTCTCCGATAAGGACAAAAATACTTGTTAATGTTTTGGTATTGTTTTTGAAATTTTAAATCAACAAATAAGAAAGAAATGTTATTAAAAACACAAATTTATATCAGATTTAATAATAAGTTATAACAATTGAAATCTGAACATGATGTCCAAACATGTAATTTGTAAGTGAGAACTGACCAATATTTCTGTCCGAAATATTAATGTGGAATGAACAAAGGATAATATGTGAAATATATCTTAATCCGTCAATCAAACAAACATCAATAACTGACTAAAGAAAAGGTAAAATAGGTATAACGAGATTTATTCTGTTTAAGATCTACTTATGAACACCTTGATTCATATCAACCAAGTTGATCCACACCTCTGTAAATAATAAAACATCACTACACTTCCAATCTAGAGATAATACAGGTTTATTGATTTCTCCTGTTAACAATGAGCAAACCTAACATGTGCTCAAGATCTGTGTGTGACCTGGCATTTTTCATTTTTCTCTTTCTTCAGTTATTCTTCTCTTAATCCTTTTATACTTTCTCTTTGCCTTAGCTTCCACCCCCCCCCCCCTGCTCTCTCTCTCTCTCTCTCTATCTCTGTAGATATTTGGCCCTGGCATCTGCTAACTTCATTAATACAGCAATCACAGGGATAAAGAAGTATCACTTCTGACAAATGCAAAGTGAGGAGAGAGTATCTGACAGATCTCACAATCATAATATTTCATTTAACACAACAGCAGAGCAGGCTGTCCTTCAGTAAAAATTATTGCCACTGCAAAAACATCTATAAGAGAAAAATCTTCACTTGATTATCTACCAAGAAGTCATGAGTCTTCACCCACTTTAATATTTAATCAGAAATAGATGACGTCTGTTTGGACAATGACTGACGCAGCTAATTTCTTATGCTGAATACAGATTTTTTTTTCACAGTGCAGGGATTAAATTAAACCAACCTCCAGTACTGGGTTATGTGGTCATGTAAGGGTTTGCCATTAAATGTCTACTTCAATATACTATATATGTAGTTGTTCATTGTTAACATAATATCAACATATCATTGTTAAACATTGTCCACTTCTTTCTTTAAACTGTTTACAAAATATATTTTATCTTAGAATTGCAAATTCACCTCAGGTAGACTTGAACTGAAGTTAAAAACAACATTTGGAATTTAAACGGAGATGGACTCTGGATTGTATAAAAAAGTTGCATAAAGTAATTAATGTTAAGGTCCTAAAGTTGGTAGAAAGAATGGGACCACATTCATGACTGGTGTGGTTGTTAGAACCAACTGCAGGCAGAGAGTGCCACCAGTATCACAAAATAACACCCGACTTGTTCACACCCAAATTTAATCATATCCAAATTATCTAAAAATACATAAAATAAATGCTGAGGCTCTTCTCATTTTGGCAATAACAAAAACATTTGCTTTTTGTTTAATTTTAAATACTCGTATTGTTCTGGCTATACCATTATTAAGATACCTGTAGATGAAAAGGTACAACCATAAGAAAGGCCCCTGACTTGTGACTGATGAATTTAATGTATTTGTTCCACAGCACCGAGCAACATATTTTACTCTTTAAATAGTGTGTAAAATAAAAAGCCCCATTTGTATAAAGCTAAATTCCTCCCAGTGCAAGTCAAGTTCAACACTGACTGTGAATACTAATGAGGAACCTGGCCCTCAAACATGATGATGACTCAGTGACCGCCACTGCCCCATGGTCACTATACATGACTCTGCGACATATGACCAGTGTCTTGAAGACACAAAAATGACGTGACAGACTGCTAAAAACTAACCACTGGTTCCACCTTCCTGTGGCTTCAACTTTACTAGGGATCTTATTTTTACATTTGTACTTTTTTTCAGAATAAATAAATAAATATTAATAATAAATAATAAAATAATAAATAAATTAGAAGATTGAAAAATTACCCTCAAAAACTTGAATTGTAAAAAAGCAGTAAAGAGTTGCAGTAAAGGTCTAAAATCTATTCCTGAACCACTTCATGCTACAAATTTAATAACACTTGATGATGTTTACAAGAAAAGACTGTCTTTTCCATAATTTAGTTTCCATATTTTACCCAGATATGAAAGCTGTGACATGTATTTCAAGCATATAAATTCCTTGAGCTATTACACACAATCTGGGGTTATTATAATGACATCAATATCAGTGCAAAATGTCTCCAGTCATTTTCCTCTCAGCTATGATGTCTTACATGACATATTCAGCCCTCAATCACACAACCCTTTCTCTCCTTAACCCAGAAATTCAATAACAGAGATCTTATACAAACAATAATACGACTGACACATTCAAAATCTCTGTATAGTAAGTTTCTGGCTTCAATGTCATATCCCATTTCTGTGTCATATCGTTTTCAAGACCAGTATCTACTTTAATTGTTACATCTGAACATGTAGGCCTATCCATAGGAAATTTATCTTATGTGCACGTGGTTATGCCACACTTCAACCTCAAAGTCACTTCTTATGGTTTTAGTCCTATAGCTAACAGTTTTTAACTTCGACATAAATTTTAGTTTACTTTGACCACAGATAAATCAGTGGCCATCTATTTAAATGACATACTGCAGATGTTTTATTAAAACAAAAAATGACCAGACCAACAGTATAATTTACTGACACCTAAATACACTACAATTTTCTGGTTTGAAAGCTAAGAGCGCATTCTCAACGAATTAAGCCAGGCTTTACAAAGCCGGTGACCTAAAAATGGCAGACGTACATGAAAGAAAAACCGCCTAATCTTTTAATAGTCTCTCCGCCTCTCACACGCCTCCCCACACGTCGTCCCTGCGGGGTACAGTAATTAAATCTCGGCTCCAAACATTAATATTTCCGTGAATATCTCTGGTGATATTATCTCCGTAGATAGTCGATTCATTGCTGCTCTACGGGCCAAATTATTCCTTTTTCGTCTCTGTTTTCAAAGATAATAGAACAGAAGAGCTTTTTTCCTTCGATCGCCTTCAGCCGCCATGCTTTCTTCACCACGAGTTTAACTGATGAGCATGCGCACTTAATATTTCTCAGGTAGCTTCCGCATGGCGAACGGAGCCGAGATTTAATTACTGTACCCCGCAGGGACGACGTGTGGGGAGGCGGAGAGACTATTAAAAGATTAGGCAGTTTTTCTTTCATGTACGTCTGCCATTTTTAGGTCACCGGCTTTGTAAAGCCTGGCTTAATTCGTTGAGAATGCGCTCTAAGACTAACTTTTATGATAACAGTCACTGGACTTCTTCAATGCAGGACTTGTAAATGCCCATATAAACCGAAACCAATTCAATTTGTATTATACAGTACTAGTGTGCTATTACATAAGGGAAACCCTATATTTTTACTTACCTGCTGTGTGCTTTAAACCTGAGATTAAGGGACTGGTCAGAAAGTGACCGTTTGGCTCGGAGATGAAGGTTGTGAAGGTCATTCGCATCGTAATTTAATTCCTCGTAATGGGAAATATAGTCATTCAGTTTGTTCTTTGTGCCTGAAATAAAACACAAAACACTGTCAATGTACAAAGAATGTGGTCAAAGTGTTTTGTTCTACATATTAGGCTCATTCTTAAGAGGAAAATCTTTATTCAAATGCTGAACATACAGAAACTTGAATTAAGAATACTGTAAAATCTTCTCCTATTTTAGGCCATTTTCATCCTTGGTTTGGTTCAACATTTTGATAGGGCTGTAATCAACCACTAGTTTTGTTGTGAATTTTAACCAGGAGTGAAGGCAGATAGAGCTAAGAATATTTGTTGTTCATTTTGGCAATAAAAAAACTGAAGCATAAAAACCATTTCGAATAACATTTTCATATTCTAACTGGATCAATTGATAATTTCACCTTGCTTGATATAACATTCTGTGTTGCTCACCACAAGAACTGGAATATTGCATGTCATGAAAGCAACAGAATCTAGCTGACATTTTCATGATGCTAACTGCTGCACTTTTTTGTATTCTATCCTTCATGACTGAAATACATGTCCTGAACTAGTAATAAATTTTGACATTATGACATCTGCACTTTGACTGCTCTTCTACTATGTCTCTGCACTTATCTGAGAGAGGGCATCATTTCAGATCCTTAAGATTTACGCGCCCTCATTCTCCTCAATGACACACTTTTCTGGCGCAATTCAACAACAAATATTGATGAAAAAGTTTTGCAATAATCATGACAATGGACAAAAATCCACCAAAAACAAACTTATCTAACCCAAAGCAAAGAAACTGATTTCATTATGCCATGCATGAGACTTAGAGCACTAATAAAATGCCTCCAATACTGCAGTTCCATATGCAGCAGACAACTCCTCGTCATTCAATTACTGTTATTATCATAAGAGGGCTCTCCAAAAAATCTCTGGTGGTTTTATCATCATAATCATGCTCCAAGTTCATGGTTGAGAGAAAGGAGGGGATGTTATGTGATACCAGAAATAAATCATATTTTCTGTTGTTTATCAGTCTGCGCCTCACTTTTTTCAACCCACTGGTAACTCAAACAAATAGACCTCACAAAATATTTTAAATATCAAAATTCACAAGTAGTCTGAAGATGAAATTTAAATATACTGGAAAATAAAACATATAACCAACTGCTCAAATTTACACCAATCCAGTCAGACTAGTAGCTTAAAACATTTTTGATACTAGTTAAATATTAAACCTATTTATTAATTGTCCTAGAACAGTGACTAAAAGGTTGGAGGCTGTTTATGTTTTGTTCTTTATACTTGTACTATTCCACAACTGATAAGAGTTGTGTTGCCTGTTTGATATAACCACCACAGCTGCGATCTAACAAAATACAATTCCAACATATCTGAGACAGTGACATTTAATGATTTTGACAGTTTAATACTAATTACCAGTTGACAGTTTAATGCCAATTACCAATTTGTAACTTGTACACAAGGTTCATACAGGCATATATATATATATATATATATATATATATATATATATATATATATATAT